AAAAAAAAAAAAAAAAAAAAAAAAAAAAAAAAAACCAAAGTGTACAGGACTCTGGCGACAAGGATTGCGGTTCTGTGGTGACGTACTTGCCATGTCTGTTCAATGTCCTGTTCTACTACCATCCCTACGCAGTATCGTTAAGTACCTTTCACAGCATATCGTTAAGGATCGTGAAGTTACCGCAGCTAACCCAGCACGGTCTCAGAAGGACATCAAACTAGCCTGCAACATAGAATTCTGCTGCGTCGAACCTCCATCACAAGGGCGATGTTAGCTTACAACGCATTCATCGAATTAGTATCTCTCACCGTGACCCACTCGTGCTATACATCGCAGCAGATACATACCATGACACATTCTGTTATTCTCCACAACCCCTGTCACTGTTGGATTCCCTCCGTACAACAGCGGCCCGGTCCGTGCCGCCCTTAGCAGCTCCACGATATCGCACCCATCCGACATGCAAATGCGAACTCACACACACAAAACAAAAGTCGCTAACTTCGAAGAGAGACTAACTAATTGGCTTCATGGTGTACAAAAGGCTTACTAGGGGCTTTCCAAAAGCAGACCCCCGCAGTGTCACCGTATCGCGCAACTCCCATAAGTGAGATCCAAGTTCGAGTCTATCATGTATACTCCAAGATAACGGCAGACAACACATGAGACACACACAGTCTAAGCTAGATGAAACGCAAGAGCGAGCGACGCTTCCTACCCTGTCAGGTACGAGGGGCAACCTGTGGAGCTGGCTGTGAGCGGACCTCTAATCCAAAAATGTCAACGAGAAACGAAGTGCAAGGAATTAAACGAAAAACATCAACGGGTACCACGCCAGGGTCAACCCCAGTGGAGAAGAGCCACGTCGGACAGAGGACCATGCAAGAACCTCGCTGGTCCGCTCGGGCCCCTCAACACAGGCAGGAAATTGAATTGAGAATTTGTTGGACCCTAAGACTACTTGAATTTTGTCGTCAACCATGACTATAATACTACTGCTACGTAACAAGGCCACACTTACGACTTGATTGCCAGTCAACACAAACATTTGCCACTCGACCAGACAAATGACAAATGACAAATGCTAAGAAGAACTGACTAATAGCACCAGCCAGCAGACCAGGCCGGAAATATTATCCGCACCTGAATCAAATAAACAGCCATCCAGTTACACTGAGACAACAAGAGATGGGGCTGGATCCCACTTCCTTCCCCGATTGGGCCACTGGCGCTCAGCTTCCTTGTCTCAAGGATAGTCCGCCACGGTTCGTTCAGCTGCAGATCAAAGCGCCAGAGCCGGTGGTTTCAGGTCCCAACATCGCTTCTGACTGGATTGTCGATCTCTATATAAATTAAACCCCCCGGAATCTCTCGTACTTTGTCACTAGTACCTTCGCCCAAGAGAAATAATCGCATACATACCTAATATCAAAAGAGAATCCTTACAGCCCGACGCGCAGCAAACACCCCTTCCAATTCCCCATTCTTCCGAGATCTCAGATCATGAAAATAACTATAACAAACTACGCAACAGACCCGTAATGAGAAGAAGAAAAAGTAAAGAAAAAAAGCCCCCCAATCCAGACCCTCATATCGGGCATCAAAACCCTCCACCAAAACTGCAGAGCCTAGCATGATGTAATCCAATCACCGTATCCGGAGTGATCGTCCGGAAAGAGCGATCCTCAGGTCACAAGGGGAAATAAATACCAAAATCCTAGTGGTTTCCATGCATATCATGCAATACTATCGTATCGGTACTTTTGCTCGCGTTCTAAATGGGGAACCATGAAGAGGCTTCCGCGGACTAGTACGCTTCGCTGCCACCATCTTCATCTTTTTTTTTACAACACAACATGCATAATCCTCTGTTCTTTGCCACAGTTTCGCCACTGAGTTTCTTATCGATTGCATCAGTGGCATTTCTACTGCATATCTGGAAGGGGGGGTATGCGTGAAGTTTCCCGGAGGCGTTGGCGTAGGTACATACTACTAGATACTATTAGTACTCTCATCTATATTTTATGTATGCACCACTGTATTTTCTCAACAGTACTGTGTATGTACGGGGGGGCACTGTACTATACAAATTCATAAGAATCGAAGGGTAGTGTTGAATATAAGATACAAGATACCTCTGGTCCTTTCTATACTAGTACCCGCCCTCCTACAAAATATGTATATATACCCCATTTCATCCCACCCCGCAATCATCAACATGGACTCATTGAAGAACATCTTAATAATCGACATATATGTATAGTTAGTTAGAACTATATACCGAACCCATCACCAGCTAAGCTAATTGGTCAGGAAAGGTTATAGTAGTAAAAAATTACGTACAGACATACACGCGTAAATTGCGTACATAAACCTCCCTCTCAGCCACCCAATCGGCAAGCTAATGAATATCCTCTTCCCGCCACGACTCTTTATCGAATCGAGGCAAATGGACTGAGGACGTCGATGTCGCGCGGGTAAACGGTGTAGTTGCACGGCAGGGCACTGGACGGATTGTTTTGCCGGATGGAGAATAGAGTTGGGGGATGAACGGAGGAGGGTCTTTTACGTTTGGATCGTTAGTTCAGTTACATATTGATAAGGAATGTTGAGTCGTGGAGATTTCCGGTATTGGTTAGTTGGACGGCCATCATGACTCGATTTACCTGTGGTTCTGTTTGGTTTTGTTGGTTACTACTAACTTGTTGGTCTACATAGGCATTGGTCTTACTTTATTATTAGGAAGATGTGTGTGGCGCTCTGGTCAACCGGTCAATTTTTGTTCCTGACAACAAAAGGAAAACAATGGTAATCTGTACACGGTATGAAGTATAAAATAATATAAATAGTCATCTGGCCGCTGAACATGAGAAAGAAAAGAGAAACATGAAAAGAATCCGTATACCTCTAAGCACCCAAAACGCTTGAATATCCAGTAGTGAAGTAGTCATGAGGTCCCGCCCATTAGTAGTAAGATCCATGCTGCAAGGGAGTCGACCCGACATGACCTCCTGCTCGTGGACTAATGATAGAAGTAAGAAATAAAAGCATGGCATATCAAATCCGCTCAGGCATTACGAGTAGAAAGCACCTTTCTGGAAGCTTTCGGGAGAGATGTCGCCCATCTTTCCTTTAAGTTCAGGCTTCTTCTCGTTTGCCGGGATTTCCTCCGAGACGCTCGCTTGCATGCTGTTGGTACGGCTGCTTGCCTCGCCGCCCGATGTGATCGCCTGCTGCTGTGGCTTCCGCTGGATAGTCTCCAGATATGGCCCGGGGAGATACCCGACCCGGCCGTCCCGAGCACGGCATCGCCACCATTCCGATGCGTTGCCCATGGGATCTGACTTGCTAAGAACAGCGACGATATCGCCCTTCTTCACGGCCAAGTCAATGCCGTTGGTTTCCTGGGTCTCAGGAGTGTAGTCGTACAGGACCCGACAGAAGTCGAGCTTCGAAGGATCCAATGGTGCCTGTTGAATGGGTTCGCCGTTTGGCCCAATCATGAGTTTCTGGCGCTCTTCTTGGGAGCGCGCAAGCGACTTGATGAGTTTACTCATCAAGTAAGGAAGTCCGATTACAGCAAGGAGGAACATAAAGAATGGTTTCTTCGATGGCTTAGGGGGTGCGGGAGAGCCATCCGGAAGGGTAGCCGGCGAACTCCGACCGTGCATAAATGCCGCAAAGGCAGCGGGAGTCAGAGAAGTGGCATCCGCCGGGGGAGGGCGGCCGGTAATCTTAGCAATCAACGTCTTGAACCATCGAATCATAGTGTAGATTCCGAGGGCCGATCCCAAGGCAGTACGCAGGTTTCCGAGCTGCTCTGCGACAGACACCATTGCTAAAAAGAGGCATTAGTAAATCGCAGGTTTCACCGCCGAATAGACTAGACGATCGCAACATACCAAAGAATGAACTATGAGTTGCCATATAGGTGCTCTCAAGCATCTGGGCGAATCCACCGAATGCGCCCACAATGCTTTCGATCATCTGAAACGTAGCTTGTGTGCTTTGACTGAAAGAATTGGTCAAGCTGTTGGGGTCGTTGGGATCACCAGGCATGCCGCCGTACATCCCACCCATCCCTCCCATTCCTCCCATTCCACCGTACATGCCGCCATAACCTCCGTAACCTCCGTACATTGACCCCATGCTGCCAAAACGGGAATATGGCGAGGAGTACGAGCCATAGCCACCGTACCCTCCGTATGGGCTAGCTCCAATCCGGGAGGCACCATACGGCGAATAGTTTGATGCGGTGCGATTTACAACGGCGTTTAGCGTGTTAGGACGAGAGGGAAGGTCGGGGGCGGTAGATGCTGTTGAGGCGGTTGTAGATGTGGTCGCGGCTGGCGCCGCGGCTGTGGCAGTCATCGCAGAAGACGCGACTGGGCCGCCAGTAGGTGGTGCTGACAATACGTTCCCTAGTGAAATATCGTGTGAGTAAAGGTCAAGGAGAGGATGGTAGATCGGTAAGTTGACAATGACTAACCACTTGCTGCGGCACCTGCTCTCTCCCAAGGCTTAGGTGGCGAAACCGATGCCATATGTTGTATTGGAGATGATCAATCAGCAGCCTGGCATCGAGATCGACCCAAGCGGAGACACTAAGCAGGGCTCTCTATGCTAATGGTGAGGTAGATAGTGGAAGCTTAGAGATGGGGAAGGAGAAGGAGAGTGAATGGTGGAGATGGGGACGATGGGGTCTGAGAGCGGTGGAGGCGCAAACGAGGAGAAATCGAAAAGTTCGGTGCATGTGCCCGGAAATGCCGAGGCTCTAACGGAAGCCTTGCCGACGGAGAACGCCGAACGAAGTCCGAAGTTTGGGAGGTTCATATGATTATGTTGATACGAGCTTCTAGAAAACCGTTTAAGAACATTAATATTCAAAAGACATTCATTCATCCAAGCCTGGACTCTCGGTGAATAGGTCTTAAACATCCAAAGCTGTTCACACCCACATAATATACACCCTGAACTCCGAAGATGTGCATCCGCTGGTTGTTAACAACGCCTAAGAAACGCCAATGAAGAGATCCTCTGCTACTGTACAGTCAAATAATCCACAAACAACCTGAGCACCGAATGTATACGCGACAAAACACCCCCTGATCATAGCTCGTCGCGGCTCTGCATCCCCGGCTCCGTTGGCCGTTTAATTTTCCAAGACCGTGGCGGCACGGGAAGTCCCAGCCAATAATTCCAGAGTCGGTTAAACTCTAGAGTGGAAATTTCAAATCTGTGTCAAATGGCTATTAGTACCCAGGTGCTATAACTCGCATCAAGAATACTTACAGGGTCTGGGGAATATTGGCCCAGCTCCTCAAGACGTAGACGAATGTATTCCAAAAAACCTCAAACTCCGAGCGGAGGTCGTCTAGGAAGCCGTCATTCTCGCCTCGTGGCGCCCGCTCCCATGGGAGCTTTTCAGTAAGATACTGAAAATCGTCATCATCATCTTCATAGTAGAACGTCGTACCGCCGTCCTTGATAAGACGTTTTGTGGTCTTGCCCTTGGGGTTCTTTACTGACGACACGTCAGCGGGAATTGTAAGAGTCTCTCCATCTTGCACATCCATAGCACGATGAAAGCTCCTAATAGCCGCCACACTGTGAGAGATGCGACCTAGAGTGTTGACCAAAGCCACAAGTTCTGTCCTGCGCAAAGGAGGGTTTTCTCCATTCTTGGTCTCGTCGTACTCAAACAGGACCTTCAAGGCCGTGCCATATCCATTAACCTGCAGCTTCCCCCATAGTCGGCACTTATCGCATCCAACACAATCCATCAAGCGGCTCACATTTCTGAACCGGTTGCGGAAGTCTTCCTTCAAGCCGATGGCACTTGGATCCTGGAACATCAAGTTCTCATCGAAGATCTGTGGCCGGTTTGCAAGAGCCGAAGTCAAGAGGGACACCTTCTCCTTAGTGTCTGCATCCTGGACGGGATCGCTGGTGCAGTATGTATAATTCTCGAGGTGCTTCCGTAATTTGGCGACGGCGCGGGACACCAAGGCGTAGTTGAAGTACAAGTTCGAGATTCGCTCCGGGTGGTCGTGCAATCTTTCCTTGAAGCATTGCAAATTCGGGTTCCATTGACCGGTAGACTGGTTGAAATAGTCCCAGCAAAGATGGGTCGAAATGGATGCATGCATACCGCTGATGACCCGGTGGAAGACCCGCTTCTCGAGGCACTCATTGTCCAGCGGCAATCCCTCTGCGCGCTTCAGCTCATTCTGGAGGACATTGCGCAAGTCATTGACAGCCTGAAGCTCTCCAAACTGAGGGTTCGGAGACAGTTCCAATTGTTCCGGTGTCGACTTCAAGAAGCAGTTCTCACGGTAAATTGCATTCCACACCTGGTGGGCTCCCATTCCTGCATATCCCGTAAATCGCTCCGGGTTATCAAGCAAACTGACATAGTCGCCTTTAGCGCTCGCCCCTTCGTCCTCCGGAACACAATAGTCTCGCTGATCGCACTCATCATCGTACTCAACCACGCAACTTTCTCCGACACCTTCTCCAAGCATACCTTGAAGTGGTCGATCGCCAGGTCTCTCCTTCCGAACCCCGGGCCCAGGATGACCAGCTTTCGGACCCTCGAGCTTACTTAGTTCCTCTGCGCGCCATGGTAGTGGGATATCCTCTTCCGACTCGATGGTAGTAACGGAGCATGCAATGTTCCCACACATGCTATTCTCGTCTGACCAAAAGGGGCAGACTTTGTTGAAAAGATTAAGTCGATAATATGAGAAGAAGTCGGTATCTTGAGTTATAGATTGGAGGAGAGGGTAGACTTGGTCGTTCAACGAATCAATGCTGTTGTAGGAGACGCAGGCGTCGGAGACCGTGGCTTTAGGGTCGATCTAAACAGCGCATAGGTTAGCAAATGGGGCTCAATAAGTGAAGACTAAATCCGATTTCTATATATATAGTGTAACTCACGGCGCATGTATTCTGGTCATGATGTTGCGACTCGGCATTGGCGAGCCTCAAGAAGGCAAACACAGCCAAATAAAATACTTTGGCTGCAGAATGCATTTTTTTTTTTTTTTAAAAAAAAAAAAAAATCCGGAGAACAATATGCAAGAAAACAATTGTAATGGATGTGTGGGTGTATAGAAAATTAAGTGTCTATCGGTTGTGTAAATCCGTTCTCTTCACATGAGAAACACAAACAGTGGGCCTCGAAATTGTCAATCAGATCAAGGGTTTAAGCTCATGATCTTCTGTCAACAATGATCCACTGCTATGTATGTCTATCAGGGTTTAAATGAACGAGAACAAAAAAGCAAAAAGATGCGACAAAATTCAACGCGACCGAGAAAATATTAAAAAGAGAATGAGCGGATTGGGCGAGTTATGAAGGAGTAGAGCGAGAGAAGTTGACAAGCTGTCCTTGGTGGCGGAGTTGCATGACAGTCATCGGATGATTATCAATAGTTGTCCTCCTTCAATAATCTCCGCCAAGCCTTTTTCGAAGCAGTTCCATTCGCTAGCGCCCCATCTATGTTTCTACAGTCCTCAACCTTCAATTGAAACAAAGAAGGTCCTCCCTTGTTGTTTCAAGTTATATGAGATAATAATAAACAAGGATGATCCTGTTATAAATAGGGAAATAACAAGAGAGACAAATTAAGGATACATGTCGTGACATCTTCTGGAACATGTATAACGAGGTAAATACGCTAACAAAAGACTTGTACTGTAAACAATGCGGTAAGAATAGAGTTGTTTTAATGCAGTGGTAGGTATACAGGGGATCCCAGTGCTAAACAAGATGATTTAGCAATATGGACAGTAGCAAGCTAACATAGTATTCAGACTACTAATCAAGTGTGCTCTGCAAGAGGCATCTCACTAGAATCATAATGTATGAGGCCCAACCGAATCATAGTGTCCTTGAATCCTTGGGAACCCTCCTCTGCTAAATGGCGTGACACTTTCCCCCCCGGCTCTGAAAGGAACCCTGATCCTAAAAGCCTTAGTGCCATTTTGACGATCCTGATTGCGCCAAGCATGCGCGTACAGTTCTCCCCAGATCCAACAATCTTGGCATCTCGTGGAGACAATCCAGCCCTAAGAGCTCGAGCTCAATCCTTTTTACGGTGAAGTAAGGGCATACACATGACTTATATCTATGTATTTATCCGTGATCTTGCTGGTAGAAACCGTAGTTTAGGGCGGGACCAAATTCTCACATCATCTATAGTACTCAAAGTGCTTGCACTAGGTACAACTTGAAGTTTCCCTCCTTTGCTTTAGGGGATTTCTTTTTCTTTTTTCTTCCTCCCCCCCCCCCCCCCCTCTTTTTTTTCCCAAGCTCCAAAGAAGACCTAATGCTACTCTGTACTGAAAAAAAGTAGTTGAAAAGGATTACGGCTATCCGTTTTGGAGAGCAATAATTAAAGTTGGGCATGCCCATCAACTGCCCAAGCTGCTAATATATTGGGGTACATGCAAGGGCGAGCTGGAGCATGGAGACCCCTCACAGTAGCAATGCTGCTCTACGCACTCATACGCTAATTCCGCATTCTCGCACTGCTCGCTTAACCCCCTTCCCCCTCCTCATTACGTATCGTATATTTTGGTTACCTTCGGTGAACAGCTACTAGTAGAGATCGTCCATACTTATACTTTGTGATTGGTATTGATACAAGCGATTTCATAATTAGGACATTCTGGACGTACCACTGGCCCACACTCTTACTGCCCGAGATTATTTTACAAGGTTATGCATGGCTAAGTTTTTCTCGTTCGATGAATATATTACGCGAACTCGCCTTATGTATGGATTTCATTGGTAAAATGTAAATTATTCATTCCGGTGGTGTACGCCCGTGTCAACGGAACATATGCATAGTAAGATTCTTACGTTACTACGGAGTGGAAGTTACTACTGGCAGTGTAGTTTTTCGTAAAGTGTCCCTCTATCGGATTCATTGTCATATCCGAGAGGTAGAAGTAAGTTGATTCGATTGCACTCGATCGGACTTGTGATGTTGCATCCGAGAGGCAAGGAAAGTCCAGTTGGTTCTCTGATGGGCAGTGGGTACAGGAGTAGATTCGGACAACATTAAACATGCCCAATCATGACCATGATCAAGTTCAACGGGGATAGGAGGAAGCACGTTGAGATCTTGACGGACATTTATAATTACAGAAAGCCGAACAACATGAAAGATAATCAATCCATCACTCCATGCCCAAAACTCCGAACAAACCCATATATCAGCCCATTCCGTGGTCAGCATGATGCTGAAGTACATAACAAAACATGAGGTATCATATTGTGTTGTCAAATCCCTGACATCCTAGCCCTATTTATCAATCTTAACCCTTTATATATCCCTTAAATAACCTTCGGAGATGGAGAAGTCGAATTCACTCACTGGGTACTCCTGCGGTTTCTGCGACGCAGGCTTAGTACCCTTCTGAGGGAGGCGAATGGCTTTGGAAGTGGCGTGTTGTAGAAAGGATCATTCTTGAAGTCTTCTTCGGTGAATTTCTGTCAAAAGAGGTTAGTGCTTTGTCGTAACAAGATACATGAGTGAGTACTTACCAAGCCGGGGCAGCGCATAAAGTTACCATAGTCGTTCATCATATTGGTACCCTCCTCGTAGTTATAAATTTGTCCTTCCCTATCCGTAGTACCAGGTGGATAGAAAGCCACCCCATCGAGAGGACGATGACTGTTAATGCTGTCTTTAATCTTATTCTCGGGGGTGGCCTTCAAAGCTTCCTCGTTCGTTCTTTTGACGGCTTCGACGGGGCTCAACTTGCTGTCGAAATTCCTTTCCGGGTATACTGCATCGTATGGCCCTTCATGATGATACTGATAAAAGCCAGCACTATCCAGGCGATCGATGACGTCAGGATTGACGAGTTGACTGTCTCGGGAATACCTCATTGTGCGTCGTGGGCCGCGAGAGTGACGGCGGGGGTGATTGTTGTAGTAACTGGTGCACTCGCGTTTCTTCTTTGGCTCGACGGGGAGGTGCTCGAGATATCCGTCAAAGCAAATCGAAGGGATCGACGAGGATCGCTGGCGTCGAAGTGACTGGCGACTTGGTGAAGCTGAGAGGTAACGGCAGCAGGAGCTGTTCATGTTCAGGTCCAAATCCTGCTGGTGATGAGAAGGGTAGGGCGAGTAGGGTGTCATATAGATGGCTTCTCCGGTGGAGGCCATGCTATTGAATAGACGGTGAAGCTGTCGTAGAATAAGTTCGAGACCTGTCTCCTGACAGCTCAGATGGCTGAATAGAGTTGAATAGATGTATGCAGGTAGGCGATAGCACACGGACGCTATTGTGATAGTGCGTTTAATGTCACTATCTGAAGTGGGGCTTGTATTGAAAGTGGAAAATTGTAGTTCACAGGCGCGCAAACCTTTGATATTGTGGTATTCTGGTGTGAAATCTTTGACCAAGATAAATAAGGAGATAGATACTAAGAGGATGAAGAAGAACACTCTTGACAGACAGTAATAATATAAGGAAGAGTCATCGGTGGCCGAGAGTGACGTGACGACTTGCGTATGATGATCCCGCACGGTCCGGGGGGGAGGCTTATCGATAACAGTGGCACGTCAGCCTTGTATAGGCTTAGCGGTTTCGCCACATCGAGTCTAGCGTAAGGATCTGTCCGGAAGACTAGGCCCTTTTGGTTACATTTCACTGGTCTCGATGATGAAAGGATGAGAGTCTAGATGGTTGACCTCAGAGATTTGGCAGAATTTTTACTGCCCAAAGTTGTTCTTCCACGGATTCATGAAATTTTCCTGACCCCCCTCGGCACCTGTGAAAAGGCACTGAACCTTACGAGTAGTCAGCACCAACCAACGGTTCTTGAGCATCTGACTGGGCTGCATGACTAAAGTGGACCGCAGATCATATTTATAGTCACGTCATAACTGATCGTACGGTTTCCACCGGATGAGGCGTATATTTCCTCTTATCCGACCATCACCCGAAGCATTTACTCCAGAGAAGTCCTCGTAGGAAGAATCAGTTCGAAGTTTAAGCACTAGTACAATCAGAGTGTCCGTGCACGTCGCATTAAAAGGACTAGTATAGCGTAGTAGGTTGGCTAGTACAGGTACTACTCTGTGATGTCGTACTAGCGAGGGTCTAGAAGAACCGTGGAATTTGCTTCCATGACGTTTACTGAGTTAATCACCTCGCACGAGCCACCGGTTCCTGATAAAATTCAAGGGACCAATTTTACATTCAGGACCGTTCACTTTATTTCTATTCTAACATCTACACTATGCGCGAAGCTCCAGAACGTATGTAAATAACTTTCGGGGGATTTCAGTGAAACACTGCTGGAAACCTGAGGCATCCTTAGATTACTGCTTAGTAGAATAAATCCAGATCCTGTAAATAGAGAAATTGAGGAACTAAATATAGTCATTAATTCTAAGTCACGAGATCGGGTTGACTTTCACTTTCTCCCCACGATCATCATCACGAGTATTTAACTTTTCTGACCTATAAAATATATAAAACCGGCCTGTAATGCGAGTACACGAGGATGGAGACCTGAGAGGGCTCAGAAAGCTTCGGGGTCCGAATGGTATGGGAGCCCTGGCTCATGTTCTTGCTCAGTTCTCCAGTCGAGTAACTCTATCAGTCAGGTTGTTATATGACCAGCAGCCCGAGATGCAAGGCGCTGCAAATGTGATAGCAGACTAGTTCCAATTCTGATATCAATAAGTTGAACGGGGCGACAATCACCTATTCCTAGTGCATTGTCAAGATGCATATACGAAATTATCTATTGTCAATGTCTCATTGGGGTGCAGAAAGCCGCAGGCTTGGCGCACCAAAATACCGAAACTTACCCACACTTTCTTGGCTTGTGAACAACAACACATTTCTTCCCAACGAGACACCCACCACCTGATGGCGTTGGTGCAATATTCGGATTCAGAGTCCGAGGAAGATACTCCACATAGTGAAATTTCTCCAAGACCAGCCAAGCGACTGCGGCAGGAAAACACTGCCACGCTGGCTTCATCCCTCCCTCCACTACCGAAAGCCTTCCATGATCTATATGCATCGAGCACTCGTATTAGTGTAAAAGATGATCCAAGCCTCCATGGGGGCCGTAAAAGGGCTATTCCGCATGTTGAAGGAAACTGGCCGACTCATATCTATTTAGAGTGTATGGTTACAATCTCCTACTATTCCTGATTAGGGAGCTAACATGAGCAGGGTATCCGTCAAGAGGAGAGCTGTCCGTATTGAGCAATGTTATTGCGCAGATAGAGGGGAAGCTTAGAAAGAGCAAAGTGGAGCTCAATAGCTTACTGCGAAGTGATCTTGGCGCACAACTCCCACTGCATATCAGCCTCTCAAGGCCAGTTGTTCTTCGGACTGAGCAGAGGCAGTCATTTTTGGAAATTTTTCAATGCGCCATTCAAGATTCAAACATACGAGCGTAAGTTGCCTTTTCCCCCTTACAGGACTCTAAAGATTTGACATCGCACAAGGTTCAATGTTACAACGGAAGGCTTACACTGTGTGTCCAATTATGAAAAGACACGGTGGTTCTATGTTCTGCGAGTCAAAACGCCGGAAAACGACGCCCTCAACCGCCTTCTGAAACTCTCAAATCGATCGCTGGCTTTATTTAGCCAACCATCGCTCTATGAGACTTCACCGCATATCTTGAACGCAGATGCAGACTCTAGCACCCCTATGCAATGGCAGCAAGGTGATTCTACAGACTACTCCCACTGCTTTCACATCTCGTTGGCTTGGAGCTTAACGGAGCCCTCTCCCGATGAAAGGGACCAGATCGCAAAGATAGAACTTCGAGGACTACGTGAGTTGAGTGTCTGCTTTGACTGCGTGAAGGTGAAAATCGGCAACAATATAACGAGTATGCCGCTTGCTAGTCTCCTGGGGTAATTAGTTAGAAAGGAACGGAGAATTTTATTTCTCCCGTGACATATTAATGGCTCGACGCCTTGCATTAACACTAACTGTGCAGCTTCTGGATGACCAGCTGCAGGATCAGCTGACTAGCCACTAGTCACTGTATTCAAATCTGTCCCAGCGATCCAAGCGCGCATAATATAATAAGAGGATGGAATCGAAGGAGAAAAAGGTTGCTTAATAAAGTTCAGAAGTTCATGATCGGCTGCCGAGGAAAATTCTATGTAGGGCATGATATATTCATCGTGGTAGCACTACTGGTAATATCATGAAACCTGCGTTGCAGTCAAGGCATATCAAGAAAAGAGGGAAAGGGGATCCAATGACTAGGATCCCAGATTGATGATTACAGTGCGCTTCGACTACTGTGATTCGTGCTTATCTGGTGACGTCGGGCTTCTATAATATCAACACTTGTCTCAATATGAACTATGTACATACCAGAAGCAAGACCTCATAAAATTATCATTAGACTTCTGGGGTAGATGCGATAGGGATACAGGTAGGTCTAGAAAATGGGTTGTTATGTCTATCGCACCTTCCAGAATCTTGTTGTGAAGGTAGGATCATCGAGTCACAAAAGTCTCTTGATTCGCTTTTCTAGGGACTTTTTATTGTTAGATAACATTTCAATGGAATCCCTCCAGAAGGAAAATGTACGAGATAAAATACGGATGCCTCAGGATAGGTAAATTACGGCCCAGGTGTAAGATTACAAGCCTGGTTGTCGCGCCAAGAGACGCGTCCTTTCGATTTCCTCCCGTCCTCAAACTGTTGGAGTAGACACCCTGCTGCCACGTCGATCCGTTATACTGCATCCACGCATGACTTGGATCGTGTGAGTAGGTTTGTATTGCAGATAACAACCAAAATGTCTGCATTGCACATCCCACCTGTAACGATAGTGAGTTTTGTCCTATGTTGTCCTGACCTCATCTCACTGACCCCCTTCGCCATAGGAAGACCTGCAGGCATTTCAAGCTAAACACTTTCCCGGAAGTGCCCAGTCTCTCGTATCTGAGTATGCATCCAATGAAAATGTAGCAGACGAGCTTGCAGACGATGATGATGACCTTGGATACTACCCCGATGGTGTGAAGCGCACCCTGACGGACGAGCAGATAAAAATATTCAGACATAGTGAGATACACTCACTTTTACGCGAAAGACAACTTAGGGAAGAGGAGGAGGAGACTCTGAAAGTTTCTGAATCCTATGAATCTAAGGACAATCAAGCAGATGATAATGACACTGCTGAGAAGCGATCTAATGTCGGTGTAACTGATCAATCGACAGGCGAGGATCAACAAGCGAGAGCCCTGCAGTCCAATACCAGGCAGTCAGCGACCAGAAACCAGACCGTAGATAACAGCACGAACCCTACGCTGGATTATGATGAAGACGCTTCTGGGGGTACTCACAAGTCTTCTCCATCAGGTTATCATTCTCATTTGGCTGGTCGCAGGATCGTTTCGTATGAAGATTAGCTGTTGGGTTCTTCGACGAAAATAGAGAATGGAGAACTAGTATTCATAGTGAACTTTCGGCATTATTTGAACCCACCATTGCCCGATTACGGTCGGGGGTTCTGAACCCCTATCTAATGTTTCGTGAGTCTCCTCCCCTTGACCCTGGTTCTTCAGCTATGATGAAACTTTTCGTATCAGTCATCCTTAGTCGGATCGCCATACCATCTACGGATGTGTAAGGCTATGACGACTTAATCTTCTCTCTGAGCTATTTCCCACTAAGTTATGAATGTCGTCAATGTGGAGGCCGTAATGCTAATTTTTTCATGTGAGGCAGGGCGCTCTTTCGTACGGTTCGAGACATCGCACGGCCAGTGTACTAGTTTAGATGTAACTCCAAGTTTCCATCGGTGCCCAAGCGACGTGGGACCATCACCTAGATATCAACCATGTGTCTTGACACAATTAGCCATTGATGTTGAATATATCTGGTTGCGACACTTAAGCAATCTAAAAACTTAGCTACGCAAGCTATTGACATGGGATATCAACCTCACTGCAAATCGCTCAGTGGTCGGAGGTAAAACCATTCCTTGAGGAATTAACCACCATTGCAGTGACGGAAACATGTCCCGTTCAGTAGCCCTGGTATTTCTTCATGGATTTGCATTTTGTGCGGGACAAAAAAATGATTCTGAACAATCTAGTCATAACAAAAAATTTTCTCAATGCAGCAATTGTTTAAAAGGGCAAAATCCATATCCGAATTTGTATCAATGACAAGGTCGCCTGCTTATCCTAGTTTGCAAGTCGACCGTTCTCGTCGTCGTCCTCGAGCCTTATTTTCCCCTCTTTGGGAATAAAGGCCCAAAATATGCCGATACCAATAAGCAAGCCGACCATGATCGGTTGCAAGACTTGAACACCCGCTTTCGAGGCTATTGCGCCTGTCATGAAGGGGAAAGCGGCCGAGCCAGCTTGTCCTAGACTCGCAGTGAACCCTGTTCCAGAGGGTTAGCAAAACGGTACTGAGTCTGTAAAATGTGCAAAAAGACGATGCTCAGTCAACATACCTATCGCCCCGACATGTAGCTCCGGGGGCACGATTTCGGTAAGAACATACAGTCCAACAGGGTAAAACGGTCCAATGAAGAATCCTATTTGAATTGTCAGCATTTCACCAGTTTCTGCTGCGAGTGTCCAAGTCCAAAGTTGATTACCCAAGAGGAAAACTGCGACAGCATTTACTGGGATACTCGGAACGATCCAGAACATGAGCTGCATCGCCAGTGCCAGCACGAGATAAATGAACACCATTCGACGTTCACCAAATTTGTGTGTGATGTCCGCGAGCAGGACTCGGCCCACGGTAAAGCCAGTCCAAAAGCCGGAGGCGATATAACCTACTTTCTTCGGGTCACCATGTCTTACTGAGACGATGAACTGAACAATCCATCCTGTTCAGGTTAGCCGAAACCGAAAGACATATATACTTGGCTTATGTTCTAAGATCCTACCTCCAGAAGCCACCTCCGCACCAGCATAGAGGAAGAAGAATCCATTCAGGATCCACACCGACCGATTAGCTAGCGTAGCCTTCAATTCACTGCCAGCGGTATCCTTGGCATTTTGCACATTAGGTCGGAAAAGACCTCGCCTGAACGTCCAAGCGAGAAGCAAGATATTCACAACGCCCACGCAAAACACGATCAAATAGTAATGATGCCATTCTGGCGTCCGCGAGGCGATTGTGTTAGCAATCAGTGGAGCAATGATAGTTCCCAATCCATATACAGCATGGAGTATACCCAGCCATCTATGAGCGTTTTTCACAGTGATAGTGAAGGCATTTGCCTGCGCATCCTGGAAAGCGACACCCATGCCTGTGAAAAAGAAGGCGGCCATGAAAAGAGGATAGGGCGGGTGCCAGAACATGAGTGCATACCCGAGGCATTGAACCGTTGCGCCCAAGAGTAGCGTGCCCCCCGTTCCTAGCCTGGAGCAGACATGGATATTGGCAAAGCAGGCGCAAAGCCAGCCGGTAAAATTGACGAGATAAATGAATGAGACTTGCAGCAAACCTATGTCGTAGGTCGGTTGGATGTAAGGTATCAGGACACCAGTGGCAGCGTCTACACATGGTCAGTTCGGAGTTTTTCATATGTCCGGATGACCACAAATACCGACCATTCAGTCCAGCTACCATGACCGCGAAGTTTGAACTAATTATTTTGCCTATAACCTGGCGAGCATCCTTCTGATCGTAGAAGGATGGCTCGGGGGTCGAGTCATCGGTATCCTGCACGATGCGGCCGTTTTCCGTCTCGGTAGCCATGGTTGTCAATCCTCGCTACTGAGGTCGTAGAAGGAGGAGAGGCAAGAGGCAGACGATGCTTCAATATCTTTTAACGTCGGGCTCCAGAGCCGCAATGGGTCTACGCCAGGCTACGGCAATACGAATGACATGGTGGTGGGGTAAATTAACTACGAAGGTCCAAGCGAGCTGACTCAAGCCTTGGCGATGCGAGGGGCGACCTTCGTTAAGAAGGCATAAACCTGCTTCAATTATACTCCCAGGCAAAGTCTCATCCAGTTTGACTCTCCAGGTATTGGCATCTGAGCCAAAAACATCGCCGTCCAGCGATTGAAATGTTGGACGGGACTGCCCAACCGTAGCGTTCGCTGATATAGGGCTAGCCAATCGGTGCCCTGTATGTACTCGGCCAAGTACTAGTACCAAGTAGTGGTAGGTACCGAATCACCTCTGCGCAGGGCATTTGCTTTGCTTGCTCCTCCCGTTCATTCTCAAGGAGATCCCGTACACCGGCAGGATTTTGATCTCTGAGGCGGAAATGCTAAATCTGAGGTCTAGAGGCCGAGCCTCTGAGGCACTTCAACTCAAAACGTGAGTACCTTGTCAAGCTTATGGGGAAGTGCCTTATTCTTCTTTATCCGCCATAGACAACAAAGACTCGAGGAGACTCATACCAGTTCACTCAAACCCATAGACATTGACACAAGGAAATCAGCACCGAGAATAGGATGAATCCCTAGATGAGTCCTTGACACGTGTCGAGGACTGTGTCTGTGACATCACGGTCAAGTGTCACTGTAAGACACAATTTTCCAAATCCACATTTTCACTCTCATTGTCTCCCAGAGGGCGTATCCTCTGGATTTATGGCAATGCGAGATACAGTCTTGATTTATCTGGTAACCCACAGAACGAGGGCGGAGCCACTGTGGACCGAAACCAGCACAATCACCGAAACCATGACTAACAGAAACTTCCCCAGAAAAATATGATCCCACTACTCCGTACTCCGTACATTGAGATAGGAATCACCGACTCTCCCATTCGTCCGGGGTGGTGATAAATCGCGCATCCATCACTGGGCGGCTACCCCGGACCCCAGAAAGCAAACAAGGAACCGGATGTTTTCCTGGTGGAAATACCCGCAAGTTGAAGAAAGCCGTGCCGGTCGAGGCGGTACACCGCAACCGATCCACAATCGGGCACTGCGGGAGAGCTTGTTCGAGATACCTCGGGATAATTATTTGGTAATGGTTATTGCTTCATCCATTCACGGGAATTCTGTAGTTTAATTACCGGCGGAAAAGCCCCATTAAGTCGTATCCGGGGTATTTTAGGCTGCCCTGGGGATGGAGCGGGGGGTTGGTGTCTGGGGTTGAGCCGATCTGGGGTACGCTTTCCATGGTGAGATCGAGCACATTTGGAATAATTATCAGATCAACGATTACGGTGAAGCCCAAATTCCGCTGGCTAGGGTACTGTACAGAAGTCATACATAGGAGCTTTTTGTCGGAATCGGGATAATGCTTTCGTGTTCCTGTGGAATCGTTTCCGAGGCCGAGGGTAGCCGAGCAGTATATACGAGTCACGTCCTTCACTTGGCTTAAACCTTGGATATCATTGCAAGAAACATCCGGGGACTTGAAGAGTTTTTTCTCTTTCCTTTCTTTTTGGGATTCTCCTTCCAGAATAAGGTTGAGCAAGCGAACTCAAAAAAGCGAACCTACAGGCAAGTTTCCTGGGGTCTTCAAGGAAGGCTGTACACTCAGTGGGCACCAAGGTGTATTCTACCTGCTGCAGCACAGCTGAGTAGCTGCGTCTCTGTAGATAAGCATGTCGCATGGCAAGCTGCTAGTGCTTGTTTAGTTTACCTTCTCATTGGTAAAAGATCATGACTCAGTTACATAACCACAATCTTGTCAAAGAGTTCATTCCATCTATTTCTGAACGATTAGCTTCGCACACGTTTACACAGAAGAGCGATTGTGTCACGGTGCTCATGCAGTGACGGCAGATCTGCATCTGTACTGGTTGAGTCGGGATGATTGGAGACGATGCGGACATTAAGGGACCGTCCGCATTCGTCCACGACGCCATGCCGAAGCTTATCCCGCTTGGGACGGAATAAACCGTACTCCGGACTCGGTCGAGAGTATGGAGAGCATGTAGACATCAAAGGAACGTCGATAACGATCTCTAGATGCGTCTATCTTGAGGTTTTGGGATCGATTTCTCAATCCCCCTTGCACCAAACAACTGGCACCGTGTCCAACATGCATCAACGGGCGTCGGCCTCTTATCACGCCCCATCTTCACCAGATCCACAATAGAATGTGACTGCGGGCCTCCAACAGCCCAGACTGGGTACTGCCAATTTCCATTACATCGCATTTTCATGATTCGTTCTGGTCAGCCAGTGACCCACTGAAACCAAGCGATCTTCGCCACCGATGACAGGCTGAGAGTCCTGAGACAGGATATTCTGTTTGTGGAGACTGGGGTTAGTGCAGGTCTACGGGGTCAGTATGGTTCGCTCTTGATTTGAAAAAGAAGCTTGGAAGCCAAAGATAGGTTGAGCTGTGAGATTTACTGCCTCTTAGTGCTCCCCTTTCTCCCGACCCTCCTCTGCCAACTCCCTCACCAGGCAGCTCTTCTGCTCGCCCTCACCTTCTAAGCTCCTTTATATATCTGAGCAGGGAACCCTTCTCTTCCTTTTTTTTTTTTTCTTCTCTTGCCCTCACGCAAGCTCCACTTGCCATAATTCTTTCTAGTAAACTTATTCATTCATCACATAGCAAAAAGGCGGCCATTATGAGTCCCCCTCAGATTGTCTCATTATCCCCTACTGCGAACCATGTGGAGCAGGTTGAGCAGCAGGAGAAGCATATGCCCGCCGACCAGCAATCATTCAACATAGATGAGAAGAAAGAAGAGATATCCCCATATATGCAAGATGCCTTCGGTGACGAGGAGTTTGCCGAAGTCAAGTACAAGGTCCTCAAGTGGTGGTGTGTACTGGGGAACCTCAATGACTGCTGAGCAAGATCTCTGACAAAAAATCCTTCCCATAGGCAATGCGGTTTGCTCATGGTGGCCGAGACAGTGTCTTTGGGTGTCCTTTCCTTACCAGCGGCCGTCGCCGGCTTAGGCTTAGTCCCGTACGTACTCTCATGGAGACGATGTTACATTGACTGACATTATATCGATAGCGCTCTCATTATATTGGTTTTCTTCGGAGCCCTGGCTACATACACTGGTTATGTGATTGGGCAATTCAAATGGAGATACCCTCACATCTCGAATATGGCCGATGCGGGTGAGGTGCTTGCGGGCAAATTTGGGCGTGAACTACTAGGAATTACTCAGACACTGTTCCTAGTGTTCATCATGGCCAGTCATATACTCACGTTTGTCATTGCTATGAACACCCTTACTGAGCATGGCACCTGCTCTATTGTCTTTGGAGTGGTTGGAGCGGTGGTATCCTTTGTATTGTCCCTGCCTCGGACGCTGGCCAAGATGTCCTGGCTATCGCTTGTTTGTAAGGGACCCTCGATCGTACTTTCTAGGGATAATATTGACAAGCAACAGCGTTTATCAGTATTCTGTCGGCTGTTATCATCACTATGATCAGTGTTGGCATCTTAGCTCCCGGAGCCGGGAGCATGCAGGTTACGGTTAAGACCGACCTGGTCCACGGGTTCACGTCTGTCACGAACATTGTTTTCGCTTTCGGTATGTTGTCATTCACTTTGGCTAGATCGACAATCATCTCTAACCAAATCAGCTGGACATGCCGCCTTCTTCGGCTTTGCCGCCGAGTTGAAGGACCCCCGGGACTTCCCCAAGGCTCTGTGTTTACTACAGAGTATCGACATCTCCCTATACATCATTGCAGCCGTGGTCATCTACCGCTACGCTGGTGTTGATGTCGCCTCTCCTGCCCTGGGGTCAGCAAGCCCTGTCGTCTCGAAAGTTGCCTACGGCATTGCCTTGCCAACCGTAAGTCTCAGCTCTCGAAAGCCGAACGCAATGACTAATAAAACTAGATCATTATTGCTGGTGTCATCAACGGCCACATCGCCTTCAAATACATCTATATCCGTATCTTCCGTGGTACCGACCGCATGCATAAGCGCGACTGGGTCGCGGTCAGCTCCTGGGTGGGCATTGCTGCGAGTCTGTGGATCCTCGCCTGGATCATTGCCGAAGCTATTCCTGTCTTCAGCAACCTTCTCGGCTTGATTGTATGTGTACTGCATTCTCAAAGTCACTAACCATCGTTCACACACTAATACCAATAACAGACTGCCCTTTTCGCCAGCTGGTTCACCTTCGGCCTCAGCGGAATGTTCTGGCTGCACATGAACAAAGGCCTTTGGTTTTCCTCTCCAAAGAAAATTCTTCTTACCCTCGTGAACCTGATGGCTATTGTCGTCGCTGCCACACTTGTGAGTTTGCTAATCTACCCTATAGCCAACCCCATACCACCCCCCATCCGATAAAGTCAGTAGCTCATGGATACGCAGTGCGGCCTCGGCCTTTACGTCTCCGGTAAAGCCATCCATGACGACCCGAGTAGTGCAAGTTTCTCTTGCGCGAATAATGCGTAACGGTTCAGGGTTCGGTCTTGCCTTGTTTTATGCGATACAGCGTGCGTATAGATATACGGTGGATATGGGATTGGGTTTTATGGCGTTTGTGACTGTCTGATGGTATGACTCTTTGTATATATGTACCAATACATACCGGATTCTCTAGAACGACTGTAGTTTCCCCCGGCCTTGGATATTGCCGCTTGATTAGGGGTACTTACTCATGGGCTTTGTCGGTGAATATGTCACGTAGATACAGATCACCGCTCTGCCGTAGGCTTCACCCCTGGCCGGAGGGACGGTTGTCATCTGCAGAATCTTTGAGGCCAATCAGGGGTGTTCGGGCTTTTAATATCAAAGGCCAGATAGGCTTTCTATGTGGGATTGTTAACCAGGAAGGTGATAAGGAAGGATATGCTCGAGTTGATGACACTAGCCAGATATATTCATACCAGGCTGACAGATGCGCAGTAGACAATCACGGTGTGCTATGCGATAGTGACTGTTGGGTGTCGATGAAATGTAGTAAACGTGTTGGGCATACTACGGATAGACTCATCTAATGATCAGATAAAACTTTACTATCATAGTATTGTGGCCAGCCACGATGCAAACTCTCGAATGCTATTAATCTCTAATAATACAACAATCAGGTATCTATTCGGACCCCCGGCTAGCTCGCTTCATCCGTCTTCGTTTCCGTCGACAGGAGTCGATCGCCTCGGGCGTCAAGATCTCCGGCGGTAGGTCAAAGTCTCGCTCTTCCATCTCCGGAACAGCATAGCCAAAGGCGAACCGGGTCCGGCCCTTTCTATGTGCCGACAGCGCCGTGTCCCGCAGGTGACGCTTGGCATAGAACGAAGTAAATGGTTTTTTATCATCTACGGGGGGTGGCAGGGGTTGCAGGATCTCCGGTTCCATGGGCTTGGTCTTCTTCCGCCCTTCAGACGCCGTTGATTTCGGCTTCTTCCCGGCTGTGGCAGACCGAGCTTCCTGGATTAATTGGCGGGCGGCCCAGGCATCTACATCATTGATATCCGGTGGCTCGCTGTAGCTTGGAACATCCGATAGCGATACACTAGGGGAGTCTTCCGCTTCGGAATCTGGGATGCCAGGGGCCTGGTTATGCTGTTGTGTCATAGTGTCCTGGGCTTCTGCAGTGGCATTTAACGAAGGATTGGCGGCAGCAGCAGCGGCCTTCTCCTTTTCGACCTTGCGTCGCTTCTCTTCTTCTTTCCAGATCTTGAATTTCTGGATCAGGGCGGAGATTTCCTTAATGAAGTAGTCTCGCTTTGGTTCGTATTGCTTCTTCTCCTGGTCAGATAATAAACCCGTGATTCCCATTATGCGCAACCAGTCGTGGCTCTGTAACTCGTCCAATAGACGATCTAGCTGTTGTTTCTCATGTTGGGCTCGTTCTCGCTCAATATTCCGCAGTTGTTTTTCTTGCCGTTCGTTTCGTCGATGGGCCTTGAAGTATGTTCCCTCATTCAGGGGGTCCTCTTCGGGCGTATCGCTAGGTTCACTTGGTTGCGGTTCGGGGAGACTGATGGACTCGCAGTTGTGTAGCTGAAGTAGAGGGTTTCCGAACGGGGTGTCTGTGTCGGGTGAGGGGAGATCGGACGAGGAGATGGAGGACTCAGAATGATCATCGATCAATTTGATGGCAGTATGGACCGCAAGGAACTCTAGAAGCGAGTTAGTCTGCAGCTCTCAGTAGCTTAACAAGCGTTGGAGCGTACCTGTCTTCGGCGGCTCTAAGCTCAGCAATTGTTCGTAGTTGGGGAAATACAGGGCCAACTCGCTTCTCGCTCTGGAACCCCCATCGTGCGAACGAAGTGATCGACGCTCCCGCACGGCGGGTGTGGTTTGCGCTGATGTTGGTTGTTGCGACGGGGTCGCAATCTTCTCGTTGGGCGACTCCGCAGGCTGAGAGCGCGCCTGGACGCGATTTTGTGTGGCGGACGCCGGGAGAGGTGTATCGGCATCGGCAACACGGCGTCTGCGAGCGGCGGGGGTAGTCGTGGTAGTGGTCGGCGTGGCTTTCGCAAAATAGCGTCTGATATCCGTGGGCGCGGGTGAAATGGTATCTAGGGGATCAGGCGATTCACGCGAGAGGAGCGAGGGGGCGGCGGCGGGGGTCTCATTGCGGTGAATTCGGAGATGCGTAGCGTGTGGGGTGTCGGAGGGCGGATGATGATGGGAGGAGGGCGAGAGAAGCGGTCGGCGCGCAGAGGAGCGGCGCGGAAGAGAAGAGGGGGCGCGCCGGATGTGAGCGACTTTATTCTTGGGGGTGGTCTTGGAGGGACTGTCGACAGTCGTCGTATCAAGTAAGTCAGGAGAGCTCTTGCGCCGGCGAGACGAGGGAGGAGGATTCAAACGAGGGCGCTTCGACGGAGATGGTCGACGGTCGTCGTCGTCGTTGGGGGGTTCTTCTTGTCGCACAGAAACGCGCAGAGACGACCGAACAGCCATGACGGTCGAGGTCATTGGGGATTTCAATGGCGGGAATTGACGGCAGGCAGGCAAGGTCGGTCTCATGCGGTCCCCCTGTCCCAAGCTGAAAACCTCGCTTTCATCCAGATCTTCAGGGTGTTTTTTTTCTTTGTTTCTCTCGTCGGGGGAAGTTTTGACGCTGCCGTCGCGCGGTTTGGGATGCTCTGTGACCCGTCATTACCGTATTCTATTCTTGGCGACTCCCTTTTTCCGACCATTTCCCTCCAAGATGAGGAATGCAGGAAGTGTTAGTGAGGTATGGTATGTTATGGCGATGTTCAAAAAATACAATACCAGAACCGAACGGTACAGCAAGCTCCTGACTTGTAGAGCAAAATCATTTTGGTTTGAATTCCGGAGTAGATTTAAACATCTTCAATTCCATCATTCCTTCCTATAGTCTCTCTCTCACTCTCTCACTCTCTCACTCTTCCTCCCCAGTCATCAATTATTTCATTGGTCTTTCGATGGAAACCGTACAACAATCTCCATGTGATATACTACGACTAAGCAAAATCATGTCCATTCCTCTCGGACTTTATTCCGACATTCATCCTGGTCCCTGGTCATAATCACGAGAATATTCCCCCAATGGCAGTGTCAATTGTCTTGAACCCCAGACCAAGAAAAGAAACGTGGGGGCAGTGGCATGGGGAATTTTCCTTCCTTTGGCTTCAACACCCAGTCATTCAATAAACTCCCAAGAATGAGCCCCATCGGATCTCCTCCCCTCCCTCTGTGGGGTGCGTGGGGGTTGCGAATAATCATCCGCATCATAGGCTCATGAGAGGAACTATACTGGACATGAGCCACTGAATGCGAGCCCCCCTCTTTGGAACCACAATTTCTTCTCCTCGTATCTTCTATTCTTTAATCCTGTCGCCCCTCCTTCTTTCCGATCATTTTCCTTTTGTTTTTTGTCTTTGCGTTTTTTGATCCCTCCCTGGTTACCGCATATCCCCAGTAAGTCTAATCCTACCAACTAACTTGTAGGGCTCTTTCACTAATTCACGTTTAGCTACCCTAGATTTCACAGTTACATCACTATGGCTCCAATCGGAACTTCACCAAAACGCGCTCTGACCCCCGGCTTCTACGTCCCAACGGTCGCTTTCTTCGCTGGCCCCGATGAAGATGTCGATGTCCCCACCGTCGAGAAACATGCCGCCTATCTCGCCCAGTCTGGAATCGCTGGTCTAGTCGTACAAGGCAGCAACGGCGAAGCCGTCCACCTGGACAGAGACGAACGGAAAACAATCACAGCAGCTACCCGTCGGGCATTGGACGCCCATGGCGCCGAGTCGATGCCGGTCATCGTCGGATGCGGTGCCTCGTCCACCCGTGAAACCATTCAATTGTGCAAGGATGCCGGCGAATCCGGAGGTGACTATGCTTTGGTCTTACCGCCATGCTACTACAAGTCCCTGGTCAGCAACGAAGCCCTCCGTGACCACTTCCGCGCCGTGGCGTCCGCATCCCCCGTCCCGGTTTTGATCTACAACTTCCCCGGTGCATCGTCCGGTCTGGACCTCACCTCCGACGACATCCTAGCACTCTCACAGCACCCGAACATTGTGGGTGTCAAGCTGACCTGCGGAAACACCGGAAAATTAGCCCGCATTGCCGCCCAGGCCAAACCGGAATTCCTGACGTTCGGGGGGTCGGCTGATTTCACACTCCAGACCCTCGTCGCCGGTGGTGCAGGTATCATCGGTGGCACTGCCAATCTAATCCCTCGGTCGTGCGTCTATGTTATGAAGCTCTACAACGAGGGTAAGGTGAAGGAAGCCCAGGCGGCCCAGGCGGTCGTGGCCCGAGCAGATTGGCTGGCGATCAAGGGGGGATTCGTGGCTGTCAAGAGCGCACTCCAGAGCTATCGGGGATATGGCGCACAGCCGCGCCGGCCGTGCGTGGAGCCGTCGGCCGAGGAGGCGGCTGTTTTGAAGGAAGCATTCAGCGAAGCAGTAGAGCTGGAAAGACGGCTAGAGAAGGCTTAACAGACTTATGATTTTATTTATACCATGTAATTACAGACTGCATTAAGATACGAGGACGACGTAATCTATCATCGATTTCCAATCTTGACATTAGTCAAGGGTTGCAGATGAAAACACTTGCAACAAACTTGGAGAGTCAGGGTCCCAGGTATACAAATATCGGAAGGAAAAACAGATGCACCATTTCCTCTACGCATTATTGGCCTCTTACAAAAATATAAAGAAACCTAATCTAGTCGCCAAACGAAGAGGATAAGAAACCATGGTAGCTTCATCATTCCCTTAAACCCATGTTACTATAAACAAGTATGGACCTCCTTCCCTCAGTTGAAGGGCTATAATAATCAGATGTGATACAATCTCGATAGTAGCATAATTCCTGGTCATGCGCTACAAACCAACATCTATGCCGTCTTGTCTTGACTTTATCTCCTCATGATCGACATCAGCACGTGAGAAATCAGTACCATAACCCTAATACGCCACAACATGGATCTAGAATACAACTTCAACTATGATATCATGAAACACCTGACAAACATATAGCATGAAACTGTGGTACCAGTATCTTAACAAACCAGACAAGATCGTGAACTTAGTACAGCCTATGACGTCCCTGGGAATGAACCGACACAGGATATAGTAGCTTGAGTGAATCAGCGTCATTCATTCCGGCAATGTTTTCTGAGACGTTTCATACAACGGATCCTGATACACTTTCCTGGTCCTAGCTTTTCTTAATCTGCACAGTGTTGTCATTCTGGTATGAATTAGTGCCGGGGATCTTATATTTTCTCGTGTTTCAATAATGCTTGCCTTTGTTTGAAGCATGATGAAACACCTTTGTTCTCGACTGTGACTCTAATTTCCCGGGCCTTCTATGTGACGTGACACATAATTAAACACCATGATCTTCACAGGATGACAAGAGGGAGAGCGTCACTGATAACAGCTCCTTTGTAAAATCAACGCAAGGGAGTTACAAACGACTTCTCAGATGGTTGAGATGATACCGAACGGCGATTAATATGAAGTAGTACGCCTCAGCTACGGCTCATCTGCGAGATTCTGGAAGAAATAGTGTCCTGAATCTGGTGAGAAGGGCAATTCGAGCGAATACTTGATTTTCGGTGTGTCCGATTCAGAGTTCTTTCTACCCTTGGTTTTATCATTCATCCTACCAAGTTTCAGGAAGTCATCATAGAATGGCTGATCAAACTGAGGACTTCTGTTTACTTAACTACCTAGTCTACGTAATATAATGCCCTGACTCCTGTGCATTACTATCTGAAAGGAAGTCAATGCAGGATACCTCTATATCTAGAGCAATTCTCTAATTCCTGGAGAGAAAATATCTTCTAGAGGGGTTGGTAGTTCGATATTTAGGAAAGGGCGATGTGAAGCAGTAGTTTAAGCAGCCAGATTCGATCATGATATACAAACAATCAAATTATGTGTTAGCAGGACACTCATCCCGCTGCGTAGTGTGCACCGGTGCAGAGACATAACAAGGGGGAATTGGATGTCTTGAGCATAATCAGTCGATCGACCGGTGGTCTATATAGCCTGGTGTTCCACTTTGTTAAGCATACTGATACTTTCTAATGACTTTTTTGGGCTTTCTTCTCCTTGAGGCCTTCTTGCCGTACGCTTCATAGCCCTTCTTCTGTAAGCACCCGATCCATCTAGCGCAGGACGTCCAATGGTTTCACCTTGACCATTATCACCTACCCATCCAGGCAAATTATCCAAGGCATCGATCTTACCATCATCAAACGAGGCTTTGAGAGGCAAACGTCCACTAATCGAGCCACCCCAGTCTCAACATACTAAACGCGTTTCAACGAGCCAGTCCACCGAGGAAGCCAACTTGCATAGATCGCCGTTGCCAATAACCCCAACAAATGAACCCCTTTCAGTATAGACACTCGCAATAATCCCCGAAATCGAGATGCACGGCTTCTGGGAACCAGCCCCCAATGACATGTAGCACCACCACCCAGACCAAAAAAGTGCTACGATAGCGCGACCATTGCGCCAGGTGGGAGTATGTTGCGATCTCTGTCCAACCTTTGTCTGCTAGCACAATCATCTGGCGAAGTGTGAAGCTTTGGAGTTCGCCCAGTACAGTGTTGTACGTATACTACAACGACACTCGAACATATAGTAGACGTTAAAGGAATAGTCAGCACGCTGGCAACAGACTGGATGGCTTGGCCCAGCCCTATACCATTTCTCGTTTCGATAGTATTTAGCCTGAATTTTGTCCGTTATACAAAACCCCATAATCGCTGGTATCGGCACCATAATGATCCATCGTGATAGGACGGTACGTGAGCTTGCAAATAACGATCCAGGAGAAAGAACCAGAGCTGCGTAGAACAGCACAAGCCAAACGACGTATGTCGAATGCCACATTTGAGTCGCACGGGTTTCATTAGGGTCATCTTCTCCCTGGTTCCTACTAGCAGCATGTATCTGGTTGCTGGAAATGAAGGGCTGGGGGACCATTTCTGAAATCCATCACAGCGTGGAACACAGGTTTGGAACAACCTAGGCTGCACTATTTGGTTGTTATAATAAGTCTGCGAGAGGGGACGAGGCTGAAATTCAGGGAAAGGGTCATTGCCTCATCCCAGCCCCCAATTGGCTAGGTGCAGTCGCCATCATCTTGCTCGGGTCATAGACTCATAGCATCGCATACTAGGGCTTGTATCAGGAAAGCACGGTCTGTCTGTCACAGGTCACTTCCATGGCTGTCTGGACTATTTCAAATAGTACAATAACTGATTTTACCATATCTTTCTCATGTAAATGCTTTGAAGAATAGTAGACATGGAGAGCTTTTCAATAGATGTATAGAGTAATAGTAGCTCAAGTACTTGACCGCCTGAAGAAGACTAATCCTGTATAGAAAGGTAGTTACTGATCTGTCTATTCAGACCCCGACCGTGGGAAAGGAATTTGGGACTTGTGTATCACAGCCTTAATATCTCTGCCAAAGATGCCTCGTTTAAGTCGGAAAAAGTATATATAGGATGCTTATATAGCAAAGACCCTATACTAGATTTTATTCCCAAAAAGAATCGCTATTGATGACAATTTTGGCCAGAGATTGTAGCTCTCAAAAAGATACACTATTCAACGAGGCAACTCATAGTGTGTACAATTTATTCTGCCGGAAGATACCAGCGCTCAGGCTTAGTAGACAGGGTCCCTCATAGGCTCATACAATACAAAATCTAGTAGTGCCTAAGCCCCATGACTTCGAAAATGTGACCCTCGATTCTCCTCTCCAGGAGGGTTACATGCTCTAGAACCCCGACACTACAACGTAATCATTCCATTAACAGAAAAACCACCCATATCACCAGCCAAGAAGCCTCCACGCCGTCGAAAGTCAAACAACAGGCAAGTCCACGACATCACCACCTATATCAAGACTAGCTTTCTGGACAGATAAGCCAAGCTGGTCCAGAGCTGGTGTCGTTGTCTGGTAGGCTGTACCATAAGCAACTTTAGTGCCCTATCGCTGTTACGGAGTTTTTGGCCTAGTTTGGGCATGGGTGTTGTTTTGGGGGTTTCTAGTGAGTTTAAATCAATACATACTACATTCCCAAAAACATATCTTGTGCAGTTACAGAGCTTAAAGCTCTATATTTCTTTCAACCACTATACATGCATGCCAGATATGAATAAACAACCAAGATGAACAAAGTAGCGTCGGGTCTCATCTCCTCCCTGACTCTCGAAACAGTTCTCCTCATCCGCGGAAAGGACAGGCTCCCCTGGAAGCCCACCTTCAAGACCGCCTGCTGGATGAGCTTCATCTCCGTGCTGGCTATGGAGTCCGTGGAGAATGTCGTCGAGTACCATCTTCCTGGGGGTGTGGTTATGCTGGGCGACCTGGGATTTTGGGCTGCAGCGGTGACAGCTATGGGGGCTGGGTTTTTGCTCCGTTGCCGTGGAATTACCTTAGGTTAAGGGCTTGGAGGCAGGCTTATCATTAGTTGGTCGTGACTACATAGATTACTTTAGGTTCCGGGGTGAGAGTGTGGTGGTTGGAATGGAATGGAATGGAATGTATGAATAAGGAATTGTACTATACTAGATAGATGTAGAATGATTAGCGCCGCTCCTTATAAACAGTCTGTATGTGATTGAAAGCTTCTTGGACAATAGCAGAAGGGGTAGATATCTTTCTCACAGAGTTGCAAGCGGAAGGTTGCTGATAACTAGAGTTAGTCAAGAGGGTAAAGGGTAGAAAAAATATAATATCAAACTTTCGTCAATACTCTACTGCGAGTTTTGCGTCAAGTCCAAAATTGCGTTCTTTTCACTGGAACCACGATTCTATAAAGTCAATCCATCGGTTCGAGTGCCGAGATTGGAACAATAGGTAGTTGTGGATGTGAACCCAGTCTCTGCAGAAAGCAGTTCGTTAAGCGTCGTACAGGAATGTCCGATTACCGATGTAGATCTTTCGAGCTTCTTCCCATCCAGTGGAAAGATACCCTTGGGTACCGGTCCTCGATTCGCCGTAGCTCAGCAACCCTTGATTTAGATCCAGTAGAAGCACATTTTCATGTAATAGCATGTACCGCATTGTATCCCCGAGTCTCAGGTGTGGGTCTTTAACAAGGACAAGTATGCAAGTGAACCGTGCGCCCAATTGAAAATTGGCTAACATTCCAGCTCCTGGGAAGTTCTCCACGACAACATCAGGGACTGTGGAGACATCGGTTGGAACAAGCGAACAACCACTTTCTCTCCCACAGTAAATGACGAAACACTGCTAGAATCTTGTTCAAAGTACACCATACTTCCTCGGGTCTGTCTTGATTCCTTCAAAACGTCATCAGCCACGACATGTATCTGACATTGACGACCGCTGTGGATATCGGTTGAGTAGATCTATTTGTGCTGGAGGCTTGAATTGATTCCTGACTCGCAGGTGGCACGAGCGGAAGCTTGTGGGTTATTATTAGTAGCTGGAAGACTTCCCCGCTGGGGTGAATTTATAAATATGTATGGAGTCCTTGTGGGTTGACAGCCAGTTAAAGTTGCCAAGGGAGAATGTACAGTTGCAATGACTGACAATGGAACCATTTGACTTGCCCTGGCTCGTTGGTAGAGTGGCAATGCAAAGAATAAAATAAAACGAGTCATAAGATTATTGGATCCATGGTTGTGCTGGCGGGCGGGGGTTGTGGAAGTGGAAAGGGTCAGGAACGTCTCCACATTTCATTGGGATGCCTGGGGAACAATAAAGTGATCTGTCCATGAAAGGAGATCTGAAGACTGTCTTGTTTCTAAGCGATGTCACTGTAGCAGTTCAAGCCAGAGAGGGTAATGAAAGCCAGGATAAAGAGGGGGAGGTGTCATTCAATAAAAGACTTTCATTCATATTCAATCCCTTATAGGGAGACCTGCTATAATAATACCGGATTAAATTGAAGGGTCATGCATGTTACACCGTAACCAGATGTAACCGTTTCTTACTTTGTTGCCGCAGTGCGACAGCCTACTGATACGGTGACTCGTAGGTACTGTACCCAACATCTCCCATTGGGGGCGGTAATGGTACGGTATAAGGGGAAATCAACAATGATGTGCAGGTCTAAGCCCCTTTCAGGCGCGCCTTCGGAATCCTGGGAATCTTGGGACTCATTCTCGAACATAGTCTCGATCCCTCTGTTCCGTTGCAGATTCTTGTTAAAATGAGAAGGATGGTGACCGGTATGGTGAAGGGAATGCCAACGGAGAAAGGGATCGACATTACCAGCCCTTGACTGAATCCACTATCGATTATTTTGCCTAACCTTTAAGCTCGCCCTTCCCTCAACAAAGCCTTATCTACTACTGCACAACTGCACTTCGACGTTGCCATTCCTTCTCTTCTTCTTTCTTTCTTTCTTTTTTTTTTTTTTACTCCCCTATGCGATAAGCAACTCTTTCAGCAGGGTTGTCTCAACAAATTCATTCAATTATGCGGATCACTCGGATCTGCACCGTGCTCTTCACGGTATCCTCAGCCGTAGCCGTCAGTGTGAATCCTTTACCGGCGCCGCGTGAGATCTCCTGGGGTTCCTCCGGTCCCAAATCCGTCGCTGGAGAGCTGCAGCTGCGCATTGAAACTGACACGCAGAATGGTATTGTGGCCGATGCATGGTCTCGTGCATGGGAGACCATAGTCGCCTTGCGATGGGTCCCCGCTGCCACAGAAGCTCCCATCTCTTCCTTCGAACCTTTCCCAACTCCCACAGCGGGCGCTTCCAGAAAAACGAAGCGCGCCTCAAATGCGCTGCAATATGTTGATGTTCACGTCGACGACACTGAGGCCGATCTTCAGCACGGTGTTGATGAGTCTTACACGCTCGAGGTCAAGGAGGATTCGGATAGCATTACGGTTAACGCCCAGACCGTCTGGGGTGCTCTGCATGCATTTACTACTCTCCAACAACTGGTCATATCCGATGGCCACGGCGGTTTGATTATTGAAGAGCCAGTCAGCATTAAAGATTCTCCGCTTTATCCCTACCGTGGAATTATGCTTGATACAGGTCGTAACTTTATCACTTTGCCCAAAATTTTCGAGCAGTTGGAGGGTATGGCCCTTTCGAAGCTCAACGTACTCCACTGGCACATTGACGACGCACAATCTTGGCCTATCTGGGTCGACGCTTACCCCGAGATGGTCAAAGATGCTTATTCGCCCCATGAGATTTACTCGCGCAATGATGTCCGCAACATTGTCAATTATGCTCGAGCTCGTGGTATCCGTGTGATCCCCGAAATTGACATGCCAAGTCACTCCTCGTCAGGCTGGAAGCAAGTTGACCCCGAAATGGTTACTTGCACGGACTCCTGGTGGTCCAACGATGACTGGCCTCTCCATACCGCGGTTGAGCCCAACCCGGGTCAGCTTGACATCATCTACAACAAAACCTACGAGGTCGTGGGCAATGTCTACAAGGAACTGTCGGACATCTTCCCTGACCATTGGTTCCACGTCGGCGGAGACGAAATCCAGCCCAACTGCTTCAACTTCAGCACCCACGTCACTAACTGGTTTGCCGAGGATCCCTCGCGCACCTACCACGACCTGGCTCAATACTGGATTGATCATGCCGTGCCGATTTTCCAGAACTACAGCAAAGAACGCCGTCTGGTGATGTGGGAGGACATTGTGCTGTCTGCGGAGAATGCACATGATGTGCCCAAGAACATTGTCATGCAGAGCTGGAACAATGGTCTAGAATACATCTCGAACTTGACAGCTCGAGGCTACGACGTCATCGTGTCATCCTCGGACTTCATGTACCTGGACTGTGGCCATGGAGGCTTTGTCACCAATGACCCGCGGTACAATGTGATGTCCAACCCAGATGCAAACACCCCTAGCTTCAACTATGGAGGCAATGGAGGATCGTGGTGCGCCCCTTACAAAACCTGGCAACGTATCTACGACTACGACTTCACGCTCAACCTCACGGAGACGCAGGCCAAGCATGTCATTGGCGCGACAGCTCCTCTCTGGGGCGAGCAAGTTGACGATATCAACGTCTCCAGCATGTTCTGGCCCCGTGCCGCAGCTCTGGCAGAGCTTGTCTGGTCCGGAAACCGCGACGCTGATGGCAAGAAACGCACTACGGAGCTGACGCAGCGCATTCTCAACTTCCGCGAATACCTTGTTGCGAATGGTGTTCAGGCTCAGGCACTGGTTCCGAAGTATTGTCTGCAACATCCTCACGCTTGCGATCTCTACCGCGACCAAACTGCGATCCATTAAACGTAGTTGCTCACTTGATTACTCGTGTGCTTTGGTTCATTGGGTGGCTAAGCATAGCATGGGATGTACATACCAACCATTTGGATACACCACCCTTCTGTCAGGTTTCAGTGTTACTTATCTAATTTTGATTAGCTTCTTACCAGCCACGTGAGATCGAGCAGCTGGTATGTTTTAACCACGAGATATTACATTGAGAAGCTATTCCTCGCGTATCTTTTAAAACTCACTTAGACACTTCTCGTGAGGCGTCGACAAAAACATAGGAAGTAGTGCAATATAGTGATCTAAACTTGATATATTAGACAACTCTGCTACCATGGTATATCGCCCATCCAGGAGAAACAATGGTCACATTCATCAATGGCGAGTGTCAGCGTACATCCACATGGTCACTTCAACTCAAATGGTATACCCCAGCCTACTCCAGGAAGCACAATGTAGATAAAATGGTGAACGACACCGTAGACCAACGCAAGATAAGTAACCTACTTGACACTCTTCCAACCTGACAATCCACATCAACCACACCCATAATCTCCATTCACCCCAAGAACAGTGCCATCAACCTCTAGTCAAGTTCGACTGCCCCCGATTTACGAACGTAGACACAATAGATCGTGATGTTCTATGGCACTCAACATACAAAGCAAGCCCACAACCCATCTGCATCTGATAAGGACAATTGTTGGAAGACTCGGGCCATCGTCATTCTTCCCCTCGACATCAACTCGTCAACATGGACAGTATATATCAATATCTTGCCCAAGGTACCAAAGTATACACACTTGACCAGTCACTCCACCCCAACATATGATAATAACAAGCTCCATCCCCGTTCCCTCATAGAAGACAAGGGATACCAAGGTCGAGAACCCCAGTCTCAGTCCATCAACACTACACCTGATAAGAACCCTATCCATAGCACCCCTCAAGGACCTACCTACCACCCTAACAATCCACTCAACAGAACCTTAAAACAAACAGTATTCAGCCACCAAGGTTCCTACACCATACCAACTAAACTACATCAAACCCCCCAACAATAGACAATAGACAAGAACCAACCAACCCCAAAAAGGACCCTCCACGCACCCACCCCATTGGCCGTGGATCCCCCTTGCCCAACACACCAGATCGCCAGCAGCGCAAATCACACTAACTACTAGTTAGTACCCACCTCCACAGCAACCTCACAATGGCCTTCTTCGTACGTCCCGGGCGTTCCGCATCAGAGAGGCAACGAATATCAATGGCTCAGTTGGCGCAACTCGCCCGCCCCGGAAATACACGTACGTAAGTCCACAACGTTGAGATGAGGGGCGGGTGAAGTGAAGCTCAGCTCGCCATGTTGATGTTCGTTCGGGGTGGAGGAGGAGGAGGAGGAGGGGGTCGGGTTGTTGGCGTTGAGTTGGGATCTTGTGGTGTACTTTACTACTCAGGGTGGGGTGAGTTTAAACCTACGACCAGGTCAGGGGGGGGATATTGTCGGGAATTGTGCTTGACGTGCAGATGAGGGATTGCGGCAATGATTGGCGTAGGTTCGCATGAAGATGTACATTTCGGTCCCTGAGCTTTATGGTTTAGGATTGTGTTCCTTGTTTGGGTTGGCGGTTCGTGCGGTTGGGTATGAATGTGATTATCATTCTTCTATTGTATCTGATTGGGATGTTTTGGATTTACTAGTGAGTGTTTTTTTATCATCCTTTCTCGGGGAATCAGGACATCTTGGGTAAGGTTATTAAATTGATTTGATTCCTCGATCGATTGAAATTGCCAGATCCACGAGTAGAAATTGATACTGATGTCGATGTGCTTGGGGTCATGTTACACTGCAGCAATCGTCCGGCCAAAGAACTGTTGACGAACTCGTTGCTTACCCTTTTTGTTTTTCTTTTCTTTTTTTTTTTTTCGCCACTGGATACGAGAGTCCTCGTTGGGT